AGACAGGGAAATCATGAATAACATTAATGATAATTATGTATGCCCATGCGGCTCCGAACCAGAAACCATATTGGTGTTGGCCCCTGTAGACCCTAGACCCCTAAGCCCTAAACCCTAAACGCGTAAACCCTAAACTAATGGCCACAAGCCTGTAAACATTTCGTCCTGAACCTCCAATTCCAAAACCCCCAAACCCTTAACCCTGAACCTCCAAATCCTCGCCCCTAAATTTGACAGTGCATCTGGACCCAAGTCGGTAGGCCCCACTTGAAGCTGCTGGAGCCCAGGGTGCTTCGGACCATAGTCTAGGGTTTAGGGTCTAGGGTTTAGGGTTTGGGGTTGTCTACTCCCTACTATCCTAGGTAGTGTCAGGGAGACCCCTTAAAGGGGGACGCTTCTTAACCCCTACTTTATGGCTCTCTTGAAAGGCTTCTTGAGAGGGTCTATATCCCCAAGGGTCCCCCCAATCCTAACTCCTATACTCGAGGTAAAAGTATAAGGCCAATTTAGGCTTTGGAGGTTCTCCTTCCGAAGAACTCAACCCTAAATCCTAAACCCTAAACCCTAAGGATGGTTTCGGAAAAACCGGGCCTCGATTCACGGTACCTGCTCTGCCAGCCATGCTAGGACGTTCTGCCACAACTTACTTCTAAAGGAAACTACAGGTGGGGAGTTTAGGGTATATAGCGCTTCCATAAGGCCTCTAAAAGGTATATAGACCTTCTATAAGGCTCCTATGACTGTAGCTACCCACCTGAAAATGTCCTAGACTTATTTCCCCGATAAGCCAGGAAGATAGAATGTCAAGCTTTCAGATTACTACTAAACCATAAGAACGGACAATCCCGCAAGCCCTACTTTGCATCCTGAACTCCCGACCGAGCAAGGAGTAAGGAGGCGAGGGAAAAAAAAAAACACATATTAAGCATCCCACACATCCTAGAAGCAAGCACACACCAAAATGACACAAATCCCTGCCTTCTCTACCCTAAACCTCTAGCCCTAACCCCGGTATGACAGTAAACCCTAAACCCCTAAACCGGAATCCCTTCAAGGAGGCCGAGATGCTTCAGTGCCTTTCCCAGCAGGCCCTTGCTTTTCTTACCAGGCTTTACCTGACATCTTCCCAGTTTCGACGGGTGTCGGGAGGGTTCAGGGCTTCGTGGTTTGGGTTTTAATACTACGGTTGATGATATAAACCATGCATTACCCATAGTAAGGAATATACCATCCTTTTGGTAAGGCAGGATTTATATCATCAACCGTTTTTGGCTTTAATGTAGGCTTTGCGGTTTAGGGTTTAGGGCCTAGAGTTTAGGGTTTAGCTTCATCCTTTCAGCTTTAGGGCTTAGGTGGGTTTGGGGTTTACTTACCTTTGGTTAGTAGGGAATGGAGGAATGGGAACTATTATAAGTACCATTACTACCATTCTTCCCTTCCCTACTAACCAAAGGTAGGTTTAGGGCCCATCGGGCAGAAAGGTTTGGGATCCTTGTCTGGCTTTCGGGTTGAGAACTTCGGTGGTTCCGAGACCAAGGATTCGACTCTTGGGGCGGCTTCTGGGGTTTTAGGGATTCGGGTTTAGGGTGTCGGGTTTCAGGGTTTAGGGTGTAGGGGTTTTAGGAATTCGGGTTTAGGGTTTAGGATAGAGTCTCCTTTCTAGTTCCCTTTCGCGGGTTAAGTCAACCGTTTTCACATTATAGGATCCTAACCCAAAGTCTCCTAAAGTTGGTGAACCAAAGAAAAGGAACTACAATGGAGACGATAGTTGATTGCAGGTATGTATGGGCTTTTGATCTCCGTGAGCACATGAATCCAACAGATGTGCATCGTTGTTTAGGGTTTCGGGTTAGGGTGCAGGGTTTATGGATAGACTTCCGCGAGCAGTGCGTCAAGGACCCGCTACGCTCAAACTACTGTTGATGATATAAATCCTGCATTACCTTAAGGCCCCTAAACTATGGGAATTATGGTACATTTATTATGGGAAATGCAGGATTTATATCATCAACCGTAGGAAAAGATCGAGACACCTGAAGCTTGAAACGGCCCTGGACGCACAAGACTCCACCCTTAAATGGACTTTGTAGGGCTGAAATGTTTCGTTTAAGGCTGATGGCACTTCTTGCTTACGAGATTGCTAGAAGTTGCTATGTCATCGACTCAATAATTAGAGAAAGCAGCGTTGCTACTCTAGCTACCCTAAGCCCGTAATCCCAACAGCAACCGCTTGAATCTTCACAAGGTAAGCCTAACCCTGTTTACATGCCCAAACTTGGAATTTAGAGCTTCTCAAAACCCCCGAACCCTGAACCCTACACCCCAAACCTCCCCAAAACACAATCCACATCAGCGATCCCACGAGCTGTGTTTTCCGGTGAGCGACCCATGTCGTCAGATCTGTGAGAGAAGGAGAATAATTGAGCTGATTTCGCGGGGCTCGAAAATCAGCATAGCCTGGTGTAAGTTATACTACAAGTATAACCAGGAACTCGCAAGGCAAAATAGTATTGGTACTTGTTCAGGCCCGAATATTAATTGGCAGTGGTGAGACATGCTGGGCAGAAAAAGTTAAAAAATGTTCCCTGTAGGAGCTACTCATAGGCCCGTTTGGGGTTACCTTATAGGATTCTAAATATAAACCATAAAAGGAACTACTTAGGGGCCTATGGGTAGTGTTGATCTGTCGTACATATTAGCCTGCCAGCAGGGCTTCCGCTCGATGGAGGGCCAATCGATTGAACTAACCCTAAACCCTAAACCCCTAAATCCCTAAACCCCTAAACCCTATGCCCAGAGCACAAGACTTATAAGATCAGCCACGGTCCGCAAAAAAGAAGCACGGAACTGCAGCAGGTCGCTGGCAGGGTGTTGCGGTTTAGGGTTTAGGGTTTAAGGCTCGTTCGCAGTAGTTTTAGATGGCGCATTCCTCCAAAAACGCCTTGAATCCTCACCCCCTGCCGAGGGTGCGCTGCAAGACTTTGTCAAACCAGTGATCATGAGCTGAATTGCAGCAGCTAGCCGTTTTGACAAGCACGGGGCTGTGGCAAGCCCAGTGCTTGTCGAAAACTTGACTCCCAACAGGGTTTTGGGCTTGTAGGGTTTAGGGTTTAGTAGTTTAGGGCTTAAGGGTTAAATGGTTTAGGACCTGTTTAGGACTTAGGGTTTAGGGCGGAGTAGTTCGCAGCAAGCAGCGAACAATACATCAGTCCAATTGCGAAAAAGGTCCTAAACCCAGAAGCCTACATCCCTAAACTCCAACATCCACAGGAACAATCTCTAAACCCTCTCAAACCCACAAGCATTGATAGGACCACCCTCAGCCCTAAACCCCGAAACCATCAACATCCCCGAGACCGTACTTCCACCTCCAGTGGAGATTGCTACGTGGCCTCAGAGACTTTGAACGCATTCCACTGACGTTCGGGACCCATGTGCGAACCATTGGGGTCCTTCCCCAGAGAACCCGATACCCCTTAATTAATGAAAAAACCTTAAATCATATTCATAAGGCCCCTATAAGTTAAGGTATACTCCTTAATTCCCTTATAGAAACCCTTATAGATCCCTTTAAGGAACGCCTTTAAGACTTCCTTAATTTAGAGGACTTGGGCTCTCTGGGTCATCAGCGTCTCACATTGAGCCTAAGTCGAACTAAAAAGTCTCAGACGTGATCCTGAGATGGCTTTGAACCAGCAGCTCGCATTGCGCAGTTGAGCCCGCGAGGGCGGTCGTGATGAAGTCAGGCACCTTCTCTGCTTCAAGGACCAGCTTTGGGATTTTTAGGGTTTTAGGGCTTAGATCGTTGAGACCTACCCTAAACCCTAAATCCTAAACCCTTACCCCTATAGAGCCTTATAGCCCCGACTCCCCTCCTTTTTGCTGGGATGTAAAGTTTATGCTTTTGGGTGCTTCTCCGGGTCCAGTTTCCCCGGAGCTTTAGGGCTTCGGCTTAGAAGACGACGTGTTGGGTCAAAGGGCAAGACCATGGGTTTATAGGGTTTAGGGAAGACCATGGGTCCTTCGAGAAGGACAGAGGTTTAGGGTTTAGGGGTTTAGGGTTTAGGGTTTAGGGGTTTAGGGTTTAGGGTTTAAGGGGCTTAGGGTTTAGGGTTTAGGGGTTTAGGGGTTTAGGGTTTAGGGTAAATGCTACCCATAACGCACAACGCAACCCGCATACAAATAACAAACACCCACACGACGCGTGCACACAGGCATGGAGAAGCACACATGGGCGCCACCAAAGGACGCATGTCACAGAAGCCTCCAGCCAGTTCTCTTGTGTGTCATTGTCAGCAGCTCCTCTTGTTTCTATACCCATAGGCTCCATCGTAGTTCCTTTTTGTGGTTCATATTTAGGATCCTATAAGGTAACCCCAACAAGGAGCTACTATGGAGCCTATGGGTACTTACTATATAGCTAGGCCTGCATGCCACTGTCTGTCTCACCAAGCCAGCCCAACACCAATAAATACTGTTGATGATATAAATCCTGCACTACGTTAAAGACCCTAAACTATGGGAATTGTGGTATATTCCTTATTATGGGTAATGCAGGATTTATATCATCAACTGTAGTTCTCCCGAGTGGTAGATTTTGGGTTTAGGCTGGGTTGTGGACGGGGGCGGGAGGATTTCACACTGACGGGAACCAAATGTCATTCCACTTAGGGGATCGTGTCGGTTCAAGTAAAGTTTCACTTCCAAGCTCTTTTCGGGATGCGCAACGCACATGCGAGCCCCTTCTATGACTTTGATATTCTTGCCATGTCTGCAAAAAAAAAACTGAAAAACACACAAACTGCCCGAAATGCAGATAACTGGCTTGGTAAGGGTGGTTCCGTAGACGATCTGCCATGTGTGAGAACCCGAGAGTCTTTTGAACTGGGCGCTGAGTCCCAAACCCTAAACCCCAAACTACTCTGAATCCCACAAAATCAAAATACCCCCAAATAGACCGAACCCTGAACCCTGAACCCAAAATGTGCAGAACTGGGCACGGACATCTCTGCTGCGAGCTCCTTGGCTGAACAACCACGGCCGTTGCGAAGGTCCAGCCGCGCACCCGATGCGATGAGCACTGCGGCGGCCTAATACTACAGCTGCATTTTATAATTTTATACGAGTATAATAATTATAATAAAGCAGCATAACGGTATCATAGAGATTTATAGTTGGTATACCACGGTATGACAGAGCTGCTTAATGGGTACAGCCGAGCTTTACAAGGGCTCATAAGTTATATACTCTTCATATGGGTAGTTCTGTAAACCAGGGTGAACTACCCATATGAGGGGGCCTTAATCTTACTTACCCAATAGCAAACGAAAACAAAAGGTTAAACTTTCAGATTAGTACTAAATCATAAGAACCCCAAAGGTTTAAAGGTTGGGAATTGGAGAACTAAGCAATGAGGACAGCATCTTTCTGCAGCTTAGGGCTTGAGAGCCTTGATGGTTGTATTGGGTTAAATTGGGTTCTTTGATGCAGGATTGAGGTGTTTGAGGGTGAAGCTAGTTTCGCGGGTTGAGTGTTTAGGGTTTGGGAAATTTGGGGAGTTTGGCGCATCTAGCCAGAGGTGTTTCAGGTGTCTGGAGAGATAGGGTCGTGGCAGCAGTGCTAAATTATCTTTCTTCCTAGCAAATCCTGCTTTTTCAGAAGCTCCCGTGTCACAGCGTAGGAGTTGAAAGGCTATATTAGACTATGACCGTATGTTGTTTGGGTTTGGGAATTTTGGACATATGTCTATAAAGGCCACTTACTTTCCTATCAATACATCGACTTGTAATGCTGAGCCTGATGACAGTTCCGAAATCGAATCTCCAGGTTCCGGACCCTCATACGGAGCTGAGGGCGTAGGGTTTAGGAGCGTAGGGTTCTCTGAACTACAGCCTGCCTCGTAGGCGCCGCAGATGATGCTGCACATCAGCGGCGTGGCACCTCGCCTGTGGTACGCATATCTGCTGAAGGCGGTCTGACGCCAGGGGTGTCGAAAGCTCATGTAGGCCATCAGCGTCTGGAATAGTGCCGACTTGGGAAGGCAGGTGGGCCCATTGATGTCAGCCCCTGCCTCCAACAGCGTGACCACCACAGCTCCAGAAGCGCCGCCAAAGAGGATGGAGAGGTGGAGTGCAGTGTTGACCTCTGAGAGGGTGAGAGATCGGACAGAGAGCTCCTCAATAAGCCGGACTTGAAGCTCAGCATTGTTGTTCCCCACACCACCCATCAGCATAGTAGGCGTGATCTTGAATGCATTCTGCAAGACCGTGGATCCGCGGGCTGCATGGAGCAGTCGCAGGGCATCTGCATTGGCACAGGAGCAGGAGTAGTGCACGGCTGTCGTGCCCGTGGCATCACCCCGGTTTGGGTTGGCCCGGTGCTCCAGTAGGATCTTGGTGGTTCAACTCAAGCCTAAGAGTACCCTAAACCCTAAACCCCTAAACAATAAACGGACCCCCTCAGGGACACCTAATTTGTTGGATAAGTCGAAGAGCCTCTATATCTTTCAAATTGGTACACCTGCAATTAACCATCCTTTCCCTCGAACCCCTCTAAACCCTCTACCCTCCGGTAGGGCTACTATATGCTGTAAGCACAAACATCACCCAGTAGACCTGGATGGCATCGAGGTGATTCAGGCACACGCAGATGATAAGAGCGGAAGCACCAGCCGACATCTGCACCTGAACGGTTGGATCTACATCTTCCATGTCAAAGTAGGCTACCAGAAATGATGCTGCTCATGGTAAGATTACGCATAGTAACCACCATCATGGGAAATATAGTAGTCACAACCGAAATAATCGTACAACGGTAATACTGGCAACAGAGCAATTACACGCATAATTGTAACTTCATCAAAAGTTTGTACTATATGTCAAGATAATATCGAGAATAATGCTCCCAAGAGTGGCCATCATCATGACATCCATGGCAACTATACCAACTTACTTGTCAATGGCAATAGTGAACATAGCAAAAATGAAGGTAACCTTGATCCTGACCTGATAATGATCCCAATGAGCTGTCAAGTACCAGCTGTAATTATAGGAGAAAGCATCGCCACAATACCCAACAGGCTTCATAACAGAAAATGGCAATGTAATGAAGTGCTAGTCGGAAGTATCTGGTTGAATACCCTGAAGAAAAAACGTAGCTTGCAGCAACCCCCACCTGTTGTTGAGATGCATGACGGATGCAGTCGTTGGGATTTGCGCGCTGCTGCAACAAGGCAACGAGGAGAAGTGGGGTGCCACTGACAGCAGCATAGCACAGCGGTGTCCATCCAGCCTTGTCGCGCTCCACCGGGCTACGAAATCCATGCTGATACCTTAGCTGGGACCCTAAACCCTAAACCCTTAACCCTAAATCCTAAACCGTAAACCCTAAACCCCAAACCCTTAACCCTAAATCCTACATCTTAAACCCTAACCTTAAACCCTTAACCCTAAAGCTTAAACTTAGGGTTTAGGGTTTAGGGTCAACACCACCGTCAACTGTGGGCGAGTCGAGGCACATAAACTTCTGGAGGAAGAAGCTGCTTGGATCCGTATCCGTGCTAACAAAGCCCGGAACCCAGTCCTTACTTCCCCAAAAAAGAAGCCAGGGAAATAAAAGCTTAAATTTTCAGATTACTACTAAAATCTAAGAACCCATAAAGCTTATAAAATCTAAGAACCCATAAAGTTTATAAAGTCTAAGAACCCAAAAAGTTTAAAGGTTGGGTCTTGGGGAACCAAGAGTCATCGATCGACTCCACTGAGAAGCCTCTGAAATGCAGGTGCTGCAGATTCAGCAGGACCTAGGCTCTTCAGGTAACCCCCCCTGGAAAAAAAACAAGGTATATAACTTTTTTAGGGTTTAGGTTGGCAATAATACTAAGAACTCAAAAAAAGGTATATAACTTTTTTTAGGGTTTAGGTTGGTAATAATACTAAGAACTCAAAAAAAGGTATATAACTTTTTTTTGGGTTTAGGTTGGTAATAATACTAGGAACCCAGGAACCCAAAAAAGGAAAAACGGTAGGTATATAACTTTTTTCGGGTTTAGGTTGGCAAAAATACTAAGAACCCAGGAACCCAAAAAGGAACAAAATACGAAGAACCCAAACCCAAAAAGGAACAAAATACTAAGAACCCAGGAACCCAAAAAGGAACAAAACACTAGGAACCCAAGGAACCCAAAAAGGAACAACACCAGGAACCCAGGAACCCCAAAAGGAACAAAATACGAAGAACCCAAGGAACCCCCAAAAAGGAACAAAATACGAAGAACCCAAGGAACCCAAAAAAGGAACAAAATACTAGGAACCCAAGGAACCCAAAAAAGGAACAAAATACTAGGAACCCAAGGAACCCAACAAAGGAACAACATACTAAGAACCCAAGGAACCCAAAAAAGAACAAAATGCCAAGAACCCAGGAGCCCCAAAAGGAAAAAAAGCTATGCTACTTCAGCAGGCTAGGGACCCTGTAGTTGTGAAGGTCTCCTTGCCTTCCACAATTCCCCAGGGGATTGCAATCTTAAGCTAGGGTTTAGGGTTTAGGGGGTTTATAGGGTTTATAGGGTTTATAGGGTTTAGGGTTTGCCTCGCTTCCACAATACCCCAGGGATTGCAATCTTAAGCACTTTCAGAATGGGACAGGTTGAAGCATACGGCCAATCTTTAACCCTAAAATTGCCCCAAACTTGCATGAGCATGAACGAACCGAAAGGCCAACAGTTGGGCTTTGACTCCTGGAATAGCTACTTGCAGTCTTTATCCGGATCTTATGCGTGCTTAAAATCAATTCCCGCTGCAGGCCCTTAATACCGGAGTTCGACTTTGGGGTCAGGGTTTGGCACAGAATCGATTTAGGGTTCAGCGTTTAGGGAAACAGCACTTTCTCTACACTCCTGGCCTCAGATAAAGTAGCAGCTTCTGCTGCACCATGCTGCGAACGACATCTGCAACCTTCTCACGATCTGCCGGGATCGTGAACTTGCCCAAACCCACCTCTCGGGCTAAGGAAAACTGGAAAACAAGGGAAATTAATTAAATCTTTACTGTAGTGAAGTCGCCGAGGAAGCCATACTATACATGACCTTACTTCCAGTACTTACTAGTACTACTACTCTGACGACTATTTTTGTGAAAAATGTCAGTACTGCTGCTACTCTTATTACCCTTCTTCTTGCCTTCTTCTTGTTTCCCTTCCCTAAACCCTAAATGCGAAGCCCTAAATCCCCTAAAACCCCCAAACCCCCTAAACCCCCTGAATCCCGAAAACCCCCTAAAACCCCCTAACCCCCTAAATCTCCTAAATCCCCCAAAACCTCCTAAATCCTAAATCACCTAAACCCTTCAGAGAAGAACCAAGGGGCCGGCTCTCGAAGAAACTCGAACGGGAGAGTGAGATTCTGGTGCCTGGGTTCCCCAATAATGATAACATAATAATAATAATAAGAAAAATAACAATAAATAACCATAATAGTAATAATAGTAATAATGAGAATATCAATAATACCAATAATAGCAATAATAGCAATAAAAATAACAATAAAAATAATGAGGGTACCACGGTTTCGGACATTTGGCTTCCATAAAAAGAACCCCCAAAACCTAAACCCTAAA